CAATCTATCATACGCGGACGCAGCTAAGGAGGCAACCTTGCCTGCCCCCTCTGCCCAACCTCACTTGAACACGCAAAATGTGGACCTGGCAACCGCGCTAAGGTCCCTACAACAAATAATAGGCCCACTGATTAGCGCTACCCAAGCGTTGCAGGCGATATTTTCTGTAAATGTCTAGGTACAATAGTAGTCAGCCTGCATTCTTCAAAATTCTTTTTTGGGCATGAGGGATATTCCTAAAAATCGGGAATTTCATCAAGCTCTTTTGGATGAAGGTATAGATGTGGCCTTGCTGCAGGAAACGTTGCTTAATCCGAGAGATCGTTTAGCTCTCCCGAACTACGATGTTATCCGAGGTGACAGATTGAACGGTCGAGGTGGCGGTTTAACAGTGTTAGACTATTATAGATTATAGAAGCACTAATGCGGAGATTCATGGCATCGAAGCAGCTTCTGTGGTGGTCAATATGGCGGGAGGTGTCTCGTTGAAGATCACATCGGTGTATGTAAGGTGTGGTGTCAGGCTACAAAAGGCGGATCTGGAGGTCCTTTTGGACTACTCGGGTCCGCTTATTGTGGCAGGGGACTTCAACTGCAAACATCGAGCATGGAATTCTAGGTTGAATTCCACTAGTGGGATTCGATTGTACAAACATGTGATGCGATTTAGGTACCTTGTACATAGCACTGAAGAGCCGACACACCATCCGTTCAACCATCTTCACGCACCAGATGCCATCGACTTCGCGATATCTAAAAACTGTAGATAAAGTATCCCTTATCGAATCTTGTATATCTCTAGTGACCATCTACCTGTTGTCTTGGACGTGGGCAATGAGCAAACTTCTGAGGAGGAAGCTGTACACATGTAACCAGAGGGTTCACCCTCAGCATGAGTACTGGCATCTTGCTTTTGGATGTCTGAAAAGCCTTTGACAGGGTGTGGCACACGGGCCTCCTCTACAAACTAATCCAAAAGGGTTTTACTTTTTGTCTTCTAAATTTACTGAAATCCTTTCTTGAAGGAAGGAAGTTTCGGATCAAAATTAATAATGTTTTGTAAACAACATGGCCAGTACGGGCCGGTGTTCCTCAGGGTTCGGTCCTAGGACCAATCCTATATTAGCTTTTATCCATGATGTCCCTTGCCCCAGCAACTGTGAAGTCTACCTATTTGCTAACGACACTGCATTTGTCGCCCAGTCGTGTACTGGTGCACGATGGGTTTCAGAGTGCGGTGGAAGAAGTACTAGAGTGGGCGGAACGGTGGCTGATTAAAATTAATCATTCGAAAACGCAGGCTATTTATTGTACCAAAAAATGTCGCGGCCCCCCAGCAGAGGTAACTGTAGACGGCAATCGTGTACCATGGACAAATTCTGCCAAGTACCTCGGTGTCACCCTTGATAAAGGCATGACCTGGCAGAAACATACAGCTGCCTTGAAAACAAAATTCCAAATTGTGTTTCGGCAACTATATCCTTTGTGATGTACATCCTCCAAATTGAGTTTTACAGGTATAAACAAAGTTCGCCTATATAAAATGATTATTAGACGAGCCATTACTTATGCATGTGCGGCTTGGTGTTTTCTTGCCAAGGCACATATGCAAAGTCTTCAAGTACTGTAAAGTAGAACTTTGCGAACAATTTGCAACACTCCATGGTATGTCTCAAACGAGACACTACACAGAGACCTTGACATTCCTTACTTTAGGGATTATGCCAAACTTCAGGCGCAGCGACGTTATAGTCATGCGGAATCGCACAGCAACCCTCTATTGCGTGACTCAGTGGACTACACAGTGGAGCAAGTTCGTAAACATTCAAGGCCAAGGCTCGCACTGTAATAAAAAATTAGCGCGAACTTTTAATACACTTAAAATCACACTCTAACAAAATTGAATCAAAAATATGTTTAGTTCACCTCAAAATTAATCCGTGTACAAAGTCAAAAAGCCTAGGTGTCTCCTCTTAAACTAAACACTTCTATTTTTCTTTGCTCTTCTCCATTTTTCTTCTATTTCCCTTTCTCTTTTGCCTTGACATTGTCTGGTTTCTGGGCAACCAGTACTGACAGATTCGACTAACGTACATTAGACAGTGACTAATGGGCAAAGGTCCGCCCAGACAAACAAATGACGAATAATAGTGGTCCTGTTTTGTCATTACTGAACTAAATCGTGTAATACTCTGCTTAGGACCACGTAAGTTAAATACGAGTAGATATGTGATAATTTACAGGTTTAGAGAATAACTGCTGTCTTCATAAAGTTGTAAACCACACTTCCTAGGTGCTCTTCGCTTTATGAACTCAAAACCAGTAAGATATAATATCAGGTAACCTAATAAGTTCGTGCGGTTTTTAGTAGAAAAATATAAATTTTTATTGAGAAACAATAAGACATTATTTATTCGTCGAGATAATTATCATCACATTCAATGATCTTTTGCCAACGTGGAACCAATTTTTGTATGCCGGTATTGTATAACTCCATGGATTTGGAGTAAAAAAATTGGCGGACTGCATTTATTACACCATCTCGATTTGTGAACTGTCGGTGCGTCATACAGTTTTCAAGAGACAAAAAAAAAGGTGATAATCACTTTGTGAAATTTCGGGAGAATATGGCGGGTGCGGTAACGTTTTCCAGCCGAGTTCAGAAATTTTTTCGCGGTATGAGGCTTGGCCTTATCCTGCAAGAATATCACTTTCTTCTGATTGATCAAAGAAGGCTGTTTCTGGATGAGTGCTGCTTGTACTCGTTGAAGCTGTTCACAATACAAGTTAGCAGTGATGGTTTGACCCCTTTCCAAAAACTCATAATGGACAATTCCAGTTGCTGTCCACCAAACACACAACAAAACCTTGTTTGGGTGCAAGGAAGCTTTGGGCGTGTGTGGTCCTGAATCAGTAGGCGACAACCAATGATACGAACCCTTAGAGTTCGAATACCAGATCCATTTTTCATCGCAAGTTAATAACCGATTAAGAAATGGTTCATTAGCGTTGCGGGAAATGTTTGCTGAACAAATTGTAAGACGAATTAATTTGTTATCATTTGTCAGTTCATGTAGGACCCATTTGCTCAACTTCCACGTCTCTCCTAGCTGATGAAGATGGAAACGAATAGTTTCAGGACTCACTCTGAACATTTCTGCATGTTCTTGGCACGTTGTCCTGGAATGTGCGTCCGCAACTTGTCGAAAATCCTCGTTGTTCATGATTTTTGGTCTACCTGAGCGCGGTTCATCGCTCAAACCGAGATCTCCCGAAGAAAATTTTTTGAACCACTTCTATGCTGTTCGATCACTAACGGCATTATCTCCGAATGCGGTACATATTTTTCGCGCCGCCGCTGCAGCTTTTGTACCAAGTTTGTACTCATACAGTAAACAACTTCGAATTACTGTTTTATTCGTCGCCAGTTTCAATTATTAAAACTAGGTATGTAACAATTTTCAGCCACTTTTTATGTGTGTGCGAAAAGAAAGATTCATACTAAAGTGACGACAGGTAACAAACAATCGCTATCGATCAACATCCATGGCAATGTGCGATATACAGCAACCGCACGAACTTATTTGGTTACCTGATATAGCATAGCTATTTAAGTTTCAGGTCTCTAAGCGGAATAGTACACGGTTTAGTAACAACACATTGTGAATTCCAATTTTTTAACCTCAAATTGCTGATTTGACCGATCATGGGTCTATTTGACATGGTCGCCACTCATCCAAGCCTTAACTTGCTTCCAACACGTCTTCCATATGTAGCCCTCCTAAAAGGTTTTCCACACTGCTGATCCGACTAAATCACTTCAAACAAAATAGAAGCACGATGGAAAAGTACTGTTATTGGATGATCAACGATTTTTAAGGATACCGGAGAAACGTTATCTGAAGTACCACAATACGACCCACAAGTCGAGATAGGGTTGAAGAGTTACTTCAGGTGGGAACAGCAATTAAGGAATAAAGTTCCCTTACAAATTTTATTCAGACAACATATATACATATACTTTTTTTGCTATCGTGATAAAAAATAAAATTTAAATTCCACTGTAAACTCACAGCCTGATCCTATATGTATTGAGAATCAACTCGAATATTGACGTCCTTGGTTTATAACACTAATGCAGTTGGTGGCATTAAAATTTGCATTAAGAGGTACGACATCCGCTATCGATTCTTAAAAAAACTGGTTGTAACATATTTTATTTCTTTCGGCAAATTTACAAAACATTATACATCTTGTCACAGCAGTAAATAAAATTATGCAAGGCAAAAGCCACCAAAACATTATACAGTGTAAAAATATGAATCTTAAACAAAACAAAAAGGTTCGTTATTCTTCCAGTTTCTTGAGTGCTTGATCTAGATCAGCTATGAGATCTTCGGGATCCTCTAATCCAACAGATAATCTAATGAGACTGTCTGAAATTCCGAGTTGTTTCCTCAAATCTGATGGGACTGAAGCATGCGTCATTAGGGATCTAGGATTCAAAATAAAACAATAAAGTGAATTTTACGTGCTTTCAAATTCTTTTCGAAAAATATGTTCAATTCATGTTTCAGGTACTACTGCAATCATTGATTATTATTTTTTACTTCTAACTACGTACGAAAATTAAAGGACTAAAATTAGTACAGCAGTCGGCAACCTATCGGTGACTGTGGCTAACATTCGGCCGCACGAATTCCGTCACCGGCAAGCTACCCACCACTGTGCGAACAAGTCATATATGAAAAAATGAGATAACACCGCCGTTAAAATGCACTAAAATACTACAATTTATTTCCGGCAGTTTTTCTAAAAAAATTGTTGATTATGGGTCGTTTCCAAATTGCGTATATCTATGTACTTTAAATATAAATGATATCCAATGAAATCTGTAGTATTATGTAAAGCTGTTTAATCGAGGTCACTAACTGACGAACTACATGCATTTCTAGTCCAGCAATTCCTCGGGCGCCAGACTCCAATATTGAAGTATGGAGACAACACTATAGTCTGGAACAATTGCCCGAAACAGCTTCACCGAAGAGAAGAATTCCGGGATTTTATGCTTGACGCTGAAAGGGTTAGACTCGAGATTCCCCTTTTCATAGGACTCCATTCTCTGGCCGAATCAAACAACATATATGTTCTTATTTTCTCTTTATCTTACGGCGAATGCTTTCCTAGACTGAAAATGTTATACATACAGTATAGTAGTTATAAAAAAGTAATTTTCGAAAAAAAAAGAGCTACTTTGGTAGACTGCGTTTTAATCATACTGTATGTAATACATTTAAAGAAATGACTCAAATAGTAAAATATTTTTAAAAAGGCATATTATAACATGCAATTAATGCGCGCATCACAAAATACTCATAGATATGGAAGAAAGTTGAGGATGTAGATGTAGCAAAACATAATATTCGAAAAAGCTTTTTTTCGAAAATACTTTTTCTAACATACTGTATAATATTTTTTAAATTTGAGAGAACCTTTGTTACTTATCTTTCAAGAGCTATAATATTAAAGAGTGTCATAAAAATTCGTTTGTTTCTAAAGATATAAGCAATTTAAAACGAACCGTATTGCTCGTAATTGATTTACTGATTGGGAATTGGTATCAGAAAAATACACCACTTTTATCTAAACATTTTATCATGAAGAATTGAACTGGTTGAATTTTAGTGCATTTGAATCACCGTATATTAATGTTCTTTTCCATACACTTGCATCCGTCCTTTAATTTTGGCTCCTGATTTCAATGACTAAAACTGGCTCTAAACAATGGCCGCTGGAGCAGTGGTATATGATTTCTGGACTGAGGAAAATACAACTGGCAACGTGGCCTTTAGTGATAATGTGTTGATAGACGTAACCTAGAGATGATGTTGACATCTGTCACATACTGGAATGCCGAACGCCCAGCTAGTTAGGGCATCGACAGTACTAGTGTAGATTCGATAACCCCCGTTAGATTTTTGGCTTTTTACATAACCTCTCTTACAGTTCTATTTTCATCGATATAGGTGTATGAAACTTGCGCTCCAGCATCATTCAACACGGCAATTTGATAGTTTGAAACCTATTAACCATATATAGTCATATCATGTATCACATGTATCCGATTCTAATACTTACGGTAATTCAATCAAACTTTCGTATCCCCCTAAGCTTTCAGCTAACGTAAATACTTTCACAGCCTTTAAAAATGTTCTGGATTCTTCCAAGCCACCCTTTAAATACATTGAGAAGGTGCCACTGTGACCACTTGCCTGTTTCTTGAACAGCTCATATTGGGGATGGGAAGGCAGTCCTACAATATTATACGAGGTGATTCAAATAACAGTCGCACTATTTCTAGAGCTGATAATATACCCAAAAATAATACAGAAAATTTCAATAAACGTGACGTACACAAATTGTTTTTTCTTATGCTCTGAATAGACTAGAGTTGTTCAGCTTTCGTTCGATGTCCACCGCACATAAAAGGATTAGGTTCTACAGATTTCGAATTTTTTACGATTTAATACGCCACACTGTATTTGATCGCACTAGATAGAAGGAGCAAGTCTAAGATTTGTTTGTCTCCAAAATCTCAGTCAGTAGTCAAGATGTAAGTCCATGCTACAAGTGGACTTGACAAGTTAAATTTATAACAGTTGTGTCAAGAGTCAGCAGATAATTGTGGTTTTAGACGATTTCAGGACATGACACCTCTTGCAAACTTGGAAAGAGTGTGCAAGCCTATTGAAGGTAGATCTTTCCATCAGTATATTTATAGGTTAATATAAAGTTCGCACTTTGGTAGGTAACGATAGTCAAATGACTCAAACGTATGCACTGAAACTACGCAATTTTGGCGATAAACAATGCAATGTAAACATATAGGCTTAATCTATTCGAATTCGTTGAGTAAACTGTAAGTGTAAATAAATAAGATTTGTTACATTTGGAATGCTTGTTTATGCTAGGTTTTCCTTTACCATACTCATACAATTTGATCACATCAACTCTGTCAACGACATAAGGAAGAAAACTATATAAATGCTAACTAAAGAGTTGCGCGTAAACAAAAAAAAGTAATATACAGTTCCTCATTGATCACTTAACAAAATTGAAGTAACAGTGACAACACATTGTATGCTTTATATATTCTGCAGACTGATTGTATATTTTATTATTTTGTAGTTATAAAAATAAATAATACAATTTATTGTTCACCATGTTTTACTCAATTCAACAATTTTCTAATAAATGTACTATCAGGGAAGCCACAACTTCGATGAATCAACTGCAACACAGTGAATCGAGAATTGAAAGAATTACATATAAGACTATTTGCTTCATTTTTTTTTAAAACTAGGTTCCGCGAATACACATTGACAATGCAACATACATGTATTAATTATTGTTTGTAATTAAAACAAATCAATCTTACTGGTATGACAAAAGTCATTATTTACGATTAGTGTGATGAGTATGAGTATGTCGATATAATACAAAGATGTCATTCGTGGCTTCATCTCATGAGGACGTTTTATAGCCAATAGAGATGATATCTCGATCGTCCTATATTCATCGTGACTTTTTGTATTACTTTTGAATGAACTCTCAGCTCTAGTTATATTGTCACAGGGTTTTCAAATAACCACAGCACAATTTGTTTCTAAAGTATTTAAATTGCGGTATAAGTAATAATTATTGATTGGTAAAATACTGTAATGCAACAACGCAACTCATGTGCTTTACATATATGGTATATATCCTAAAAATCGCCAATAACTTGCGTCTAGATTTTTCATGAAATGAAAGCGTAGATAATACAATGATATATATTACATCAACCGCATGACAGAGTTAATCGATATGTTTCCTTGTTTCGTATTATACAGGGTGCGGCAGAGAGGACGGACGTTTTTGGGATGGGTAGTACTCTCCGCCTCCGTCTACGAGAGAGGTGGGGAGGGTGCCGTTTGACTCGTGAGATCCTAGCATTATTTTACCAGTTGTCGTTATGGAGCCTTGGACGGTGGAGCACCGCGTTTTCGCCTATGAGTGACGAAGTCCACTTTCACCTAAACAGCGTGGTTAACCTGCAGAATTGTCGTTATTGGGCTAATGAAAATCCGCAACAGTTACACGAAAGACCGCTGCGCAGCCCAAAAGTAACGGTTTGGTGCGCTGTATCGCAAACTTGCAACATTGGCCCTTACTTCTCCGAAGACGGTAATGTTCGTGATGTTACCGTGAACTCAAAGCGCTACGTCGACATGATCACCAACTTCTTTCTCCCTGAATTACGACGGCGACGTGTTCCAATCCGACGTGTGTGGTTCCAGCAGGATGGGGCGACCGCCCGCAGAGCCCGAGCATCCATGGACGTTATTCGCCCTCTCTTCCCTGGTCGCCTTATTTCCAGGTTTGGCGATGTTCATTGGCCTCCTCGGTCCCCAGATTCATCCATTTGCGATTTTTTCGTATGAGGACACCTCAATGCTAGAGTATACGCGAACAAGCCCCGAAGTCTGGACGAATTGAAGGGCGAAATTCGCGTGGAAGTAGCCCAAGTTGAGAGAGCGATGTTGGAGAGAGTCTACGCGAACTTCCAAGAACGCCTACAGCACTGCATCAATATTTCGGCCACCACATGCCTGATGTGGTTTTCCACACTTGACTGTCTCAAATGCTATTTCCTTGTGAACCTGATTCCATCAATAAATTTGTTTTCGAGTAAAAATTAACTATTTTATGATTTTTTTAAAACCGTCCGTCCTCTCTGCCGCACCCTGTATATATAAGCACATAAGCATTTGGACCCTACTTTAGAACTGTTAAATAGTGATATTGAAAAAAATATGAATTGGTTAAATGTCAATAAACTTAAATTAAACACTAATAAAACAAAATGTATGTCAATAGGGAAACATTTAGGTGACAATACAATTAGGCTCGTTATTAATGATGAAAAAATTGAAGTAGTCGAGTCATTTAAATATCTTGGTATATATTATATAACATTATGAATACATTATTTCAAAAATATCGAAAAAGATAAATTACTTCTATAGAGTTTTCCATAATCTTAGTATGTATTCCAAAAAAAATGTGTATAACACTATAATTCTTCCCCATTTTTTATATTGTTCAACCATCTTGGTTACCGCAAAATTACAAATTCTACAAAATAAAGCTGTGAGAATTATTTTAAATAAAAACAAATATACTAGGATTAAGTCTATGTTAGAAGAACTGCAGTGGTTGGATGTGGAAAATTTCATATATTATTTAGTTCTCGTTTTCATATTCAAATAAAAAAAGCATTTATTACCACCACATTTAGAGAACCTCACAAAATTAAATAGTCATTATCATAACAACGAAACTAGAGGCAGTATAGGTTTTCATCTGCAAAATTGTAATAGTAGCATAACTAGTACATCTATATTTCAAAAGGGAGTATTTGAATTTAATGAATTGAATAAGCATATTAAACTAAGTTCGATTTTAAAAATGTTTAAGGTGAAATTAAAAAATCGCTTTACGAATAATCAAAATACATAGTGACGTAATTTTAATTTTAATAGACAAGAATGTAAAATTACAGGAAATGGATTGAAGAAAAATATGTAACCGAATCATTATACAACATTGATATTGTAGCACTAATGCTGAATAAATCTTCAACAACAAAAAAAAAATAATTGCATAACTTACCTGGGTGTAATACTTTTTCCACTTTGGAATGACGTTCCAAAAATTCACCAACTAATCGACAATTTTCGTTATGTTTTTGCATCCTCAAAGCTAGAGTTTTTAAGCCCCTATTCACTTGATAACAGTCAAAGGGAGCTGGTATTATGCCCATTGCTGCAAAATGTTAGTGATACAATAGCTATGGAAAAGTAACAATTTCATATTATCTTTTTAAGGAAAATACCGATTCTGCCATTATGTAATGTTTTTCATTCATAGAAATTCACTCATAAAATAGGTACTTAATATCATGTCACTATACTTGGATATAGAACGAATCACCAAGAGAAGTGAAATACAACTACACATTTATTAGCTAAAATCTTGGCAGCTTTTAATGGGACACAATTAGCCGATTGCTAGTATTAGGAATTTGGGATATAGCCTTACCATTTTGTAGAAATTTCAATTTCTGATAAATCTCTTCATTGTTCGTAGCGATGGATCCCATAATAACATCACCATGTCCGTTCATGTACTTTGAAATGGAGTAAATTGTTAAATCAGCTCCTAAATCCAAAGGTCTTTGTAGGTATGGGGTTAAAAAGGTGTTGTCAACGACAAGGAGGATATTATGCTTTTTAGCTATCGCTGCAGCAGCTTTTATATCTACCACCTTCATAGTAGGATTTGTAGGAGATTCCAACCAAACTAACTGAAAAAAATTGAATTCTAACTTGAATACCAGATGTCCCTATGAGTATTATTACTGAATTTATATGTTCGCCTAAAAGCAGATTATCTTGAAGCGTTTTTCTAACGTCTAACGGAAGCCCAAGCCACAGAAGTAGTAGAATCATAGAGACAGTACCTGGAAACACTACATTACAGTTTTCGCACGAAATTTTTCGTTTGAATTTTAGAGTGCAAGTTTTACCTGTTCTAGTTGATATAAAAAAGTAAAAGTACTCTGAATGTACTGTTTGCAGGGAAAATATTTAAATTCCATCGAAATAAATTTTAAAAAATACGCCATTACATGAATAAGGACTAGGTTAATTGCCTCAGTTAAACCGGCTCAGAGGAACGGTTGAACGCAATAAGTTAAAGATTTTGTAGAAGTTAGAATATTGTTCAATCGTGCGAATATCCTATATTCCCATTCCAATACATAAGAACATTGAAACATGTTCACAATTCCTGCATTCTTGGGGCTTTTGAAAAATGAAGTCGTTTGACTCACGCATCTCAGGTTTTTGAAACGTTAATTGGTCCTTGTGTAATAATAACATTTCATCTAAATCTGAGTGGGTCTTTCGGACTGTAGTTTTCTCGTGAACGTCCCATGCAACATTGAAAAACAAGATATATTGAATTCAGAACATTTGCAATATCAATAGTCCCCTTGATTATCCAAGAGGAGCTAGAAAAATGACTAAAACCTAGGAAGAATGACAAAATTTTACAGAAGCATAGTGCAAAACACGCAAAAAAACTTTTATTTGTTTTGGTAAAAGCAAATGTATGGAAAATATGACTGAGCTTAATAATAGAACGTCTTTGACTAACACCAAAGACTTTGACAATCCCAACAAAAACGAGCCTCTGACGCATCAAAAAATGAAGTTCGAGCGATTTTATTTTTCTGTTTTTCCTATAGCTCTGCCGCCATCGGATCGATTTCCAATACCAATAAAGCCATCCTTGAGATATCAGTATCCTTATGACAAACAGATCAATGGAAGTACATGATACAGTTTTTCGTAATGTATGTATATGTTATCTATCATCCAAAAAACATAAAATTCTACATGAAGACAAATTGTGGCGTATAACATTCCTGTGAAAAGTATCAGTGGTCCTGGCCCAGTTTTATTTGTTTCTAACACATGCCTTGCCTAATATCAGGTTCATATTAGTCAATACTCAGAATAGACCTCGTCCCTCAGAAGTTTCTTTGTTACTAAATCAGATTTAGACAATTATTTCCACTATCACACGACTCTATCACGTAGAAATGAAAACGTAATGCTCAATATGGCTGACTTAAAAAAAGGTCAATTGTACGGTGATCATTTTTTACAAAACAAAAAAAACTCGCAGTTTCATCTTGAAATTGGCTGAGCTTTGGATATATTGTTATAGGACCAACTTTGTTGACAATGACCACAAGTTTCTTGATCATTTGGGCACATTAGCTACCAGATAACAAGCTCGAAGTCACTGCATTGTTATACCGGACAATTACTTGAAGGCTTGGAATTTCTTAAGAATTTACAACAGTTCTTTTATCTATTACACATTTTTGGAAATCAAAAAAGACGAAGATGTTTTTGAAACCGCATGAAGCAAAAATTAAGGAGCATTTTTTGAGAGAAATATGGGTGAAGTTGAAAATACACGATAAGCGAATGCCACACGATCAGTGTTTACTAATTATTCCGTCATAGAAATGTGACTTCTACGTATCCTTATGCATCAATAATTACTGACATTTATTCAAGGGCGGATTTAGAAATCTGTTTGGGGGGACTGCGGTGGTTGCAGCATTAATGTTTGGGAAGATGGTTGTCTCCTGGTGGGGGTTGCACAGCGTAGATTACAAATTGAATTTGGTGGACACGACACAATAAATATCATATTCCATGGTAAATGCTGATGATGAAACATATTTATCTATGTACTGTTTCGACCTGTATGTAGTTATACCAATGATTAGGGGTGATTATTATCAACTGATATGCCTACTGCCCAGAATACTCTCCACGATTTTATCTGTAACCGTAAGTACTATACTATCTTATCACCGATCTAATAAAATCAGAATTTATGTTTCTCCAGGCGAACAATGCAGTTTTAATATATATAACAGTGACATGATGGTCAATGTTTGTATGGATTTAACAATTAACACTCAACAACATTTCAAACGTTTTTAACATGTCGTGCAATAAAAAGGCATGATGGGATTGATAATGAAACTCAGAAATAGCGTTAGATAAAAAATTAGTCATAATACTAGCATAAAACATTTACTTGTTAACTTACATCAGAAGAGTTAAGCTAGAGTAGCTGTTCTAGCTAGACTTTACAATTTGTAATTATTAACTATTAACTGGAATAAAACATGGAAACTTACCTTTGTATTGGGTTCAATAGACTTCTCTAAATTCGATATATTCGTCAGATCCGTGAAAGTCATTTTAATATTAAACCTGGCCATGACTTGGTTGAGCAATCTGTTGGTACCTCCATAAATATCATCTCCGATAACAATATGATCTCCACTGCTCAGCATACCCAACAGAGCTGTAGTGGCGCCTAATCCACTAGAGAATGCCAGAGCATATTTCGCATTGTCTAACTTTGCAAGAACTGCTTGCAAAACGTCTCTTGTTGGATTTCCTGATCTACTATAGTCATATTTCTAAGGAATAGAAAAAAATGATAATACATTACTATAAGGGACCGTTCTCATGTATTTAAATACATGCGTTCTCACCAAAGTGATAGGAATTGACTAGTTGCTCAAATGTCGCTAGTCGATTTTGAGTTGCCCACCAGCAACACTTCATCTAACGTTCCAGTCCTATCCTCAAAAGATCATTGATAATCCGACATAGGTACTTCTTCATCGCATTTTTGTTTCTTTGGAGTGATTCAGTTAATGCAGCAGCAAGAAATATGATAAAATAATAGTGTACGAATGATCAGACTCAATAGAAATGTATTTTGTTTCGCATATTGCTCATTACACATTTTATTTGTTATGTATTAACAGCTTTTGGTGAATAAAAAATATCACATATTATGTTGATTAATTGATCTGGCCAAAGTAATCTTGGAATACTCCAAAGAACCACCCCATGACGTTCGCCACTGCAACGTTTTTTCATATCACTATGGAAGTTAATATAGAAAAATGGCTTAAATGCCATAATACGACGGATAAGTTAAAACGGCGCTGTTGTATTCAGCTATGGGTTTGGCATTAACTTATTACACTTAAATAAGTCTACTCGTTTTCCTGGATGTCAAAATCAGTTGCAGCGTAATATCAATATCGCTGTTACTGACAGCATCGTGCGAGTTTTATAAACCCGCAGCATTGTTTAGTTTTTTAGAAGAATGTAATTGTAGCAATCATGCTAAATAAGTCTTAAACAAACAAATCTAGGAAATCCCGCCATAGGTCAATTTTTGAAGTTTGTGCGTGAGGAAACTTGATTCGCATAATATGGAAAACTACTTGCGACACTTTTATTCAATTTACCAGGTAAATATTTTCCGCAACATTGACGCGAAATACTTTTTATATCCTTTATACAAAGTATTTGGAAAAGTAATTGTAGTTTGTAATGAAGTTTTAACCTAGTCTACATTTAACAAACGACAAAAAACGATTTTAATTAATGGCATACTAAAGACTTTAAATATGTGTATATAACATAACCCTAAACAATTTATAAGTTATATGCTCGTAATAGATTATTTTCCTAAAATGTAGATTTTTCATATACTAAGTGACATATAAATCCGAATACCCAGTTTAAATGGTTTTATTTTAATAAAAGTTGGTGAATGTATTTATCTTACTGTAAATAACAAGTGAAAAAATTTTCAGCCTTATCAGTTGGAAATTCCGGTTTTATACTGCTTTTTTTTAATTCACTAACGCTCTAAAAATGAATATTTCAGCCGCAGTAAAGAATCAACGTTGGCGGATTTTGGTTCTTGACATCCTTTACGATCCGTTACGATGCCTAGAGTACGGAGACCTGTACGATTTCGTCAACTTAGTTAGTTTGATAGGGGCCGTATAGTGGGACTTCGGGAAGCTGGACTTTCTTTCCGGGCAATTGCAGTTAGAGTGCAAAGAAGTGTAGACACTGTGGTTAGGTGTTGTCAGGCATGGCTTCGAGAAGGCCGCACGTAAAGAGCAAGGGGCACTGGACGCCGCCGTAGAACAACAGACCGTGAAGATCGCCGCCTAAGATTTTATTGGCCTTAAGGGACCGTTTCTCCACTACCAGGTCCATTGCAAATGAATGGTTTGCAGAACACGGAAGACCTATTGGCATGCGAAGTGTTCACCGACGAATGAGAAGTTTTGGCTTGTTTTCATACCGGCCACACTGGGTCCTCCCTTTAACTCGAGAACACCGACGTAATCGCCTTGAGTGGTGCAGACAACGGTCACTCTGGGATCAGGAATGGAACAGTATTGTCTTTAGTGACGAGTCTCGATTTTGTTTAGGCACGCACGATGGTCGTGCCAGGGTTAGAAGGCGACGTGGTGAAAGGAGGAATCCACAGTTTTTTGTTGAAAGGCATGTTCAACACACTGTTGGAGTTATGGTTTGGGGTGCTATAGCTTATGGTTCCAGGTCACCTTTAATCTTCATCAGAGGTAACATGAACGCGCAGCGTTATATCCACGAAGTTCTAGAACCCCATCTTTTACCCTATGTTGACACCCTGGCAGATCCAACTTTCCAACAAGATAATGCCCGACCACATGTTGCAAGAGTCACAATAGACTTCTTTCAACATAATGATGTCACATTGTTACCATGGCCACCAAGATCTCCCGACTTATCCCCAATTGAGCACGTGTGGGATATGATGGGTAGGAGATTGCTCAATTTGCAACGTCCTCCTCAGATTCTAGAAGCACTTCGAGAGGAGTTGGTGGTTGCCTGGAATGAGATACCACAGGAGGACATTGACCACCTGATCAGAAGCATGCCTAGGCGCGTTGGAGAATGCGTAGCACATCAGGGTGCATCCACACATTATTAAAGGTCAAAGGGATTTAAAGCAGTGCAATCATTTTGCAATTTTTATCATTTACTTATTATGCTTCATTAAGTACTTATACAAAATTTTATTAAAATAAAACCATTTAAACTGGGTGTTCGGATGTATATGTCACTTAGTATATGTAGTGAGTTAGTTCATTTTTTCAAAAAGCCGTCCAATTGGCACATGTTTCTGTAACGTGCGTGTATATCTAGAAACAATTTTACATTAAAAATAAATACCGACATGCTGATCTTGGAGCATTAAACATTTCTGCGCAGTTTGAAGAAAATCGACAGTCTAGTTTATGATATTTCCTGTTCGAAGTTTGACATTTGAGCGTTGGTACCAAAATTTAGCATTAAAACGTTACTGCAAAATCAGAATCTACATTAAGTTTTCGAAATAGCTGATAAATATAGTTTCAGTCATATTCAATTATTCAGTATGGAAACACAATACGTAAGCTCTAGAATTACTATCAACAGTGGAAAGTAAGTGGTCTTTATGCTCCTTATAAAGATAAGACATCGAATATTATATATTATTGGAATATTACCTCATATTCGGCTGGCCCGTTCTGTTTGAAAGTAGTGCTTGTAACAATAGGTGGTATCACAGCCATGCTATTCCAGTTTTCTGGATCATGGGCATGATGTATTGCAGCTGTTGCAAATCCCTTGGGGTACGGCAAAAATCCATCTTGGGCCATACTGGTTAATGCTGAGTGTCGTAGTAACTGTTAAATAAAATGAAAATGAATCAACACTTATTGCGGCAATCAATTATCAGCGTTGATGTAGCAACAGCACTGAGACAGTTTGTTGTTTTGATATAAGTGAGGTATAACTTATGAGATAATAATTGTGGATAATGACATTCATAAAATGTAATCCATATCTGGAATGAGCTGGTTCAAGCTCCACATCATATATACTTCCCACGCCCCCTTACTGGCTTTGCAGTTTTTGAAAATTGGTCCAGCGGTGGCAGAGAAAAAGATCAAAACCGGAAAAGAATGATGTCGCTCAAACTTCATTTTTGACGTTTCAGAGGATACTGATCATTTTTGAAAAAAAATTAGAGGTAAAAAGGTAGAGGGTGGGGTCTGTAGGGGAGGGGTGGGGAGAGTTTATCTCAATTTTTTTATGTCAGTACATTTATTCGCTCCTAATCTTTGTAATTCTACGCACCTATTATGCTTATTTCACACATCATAGACTTCTCCCTACATTGGCCTTTAAAACTTCTACCGCCGGTCTTGGTAGTTTTATGTTGTTCCGGTATGGTACAGGTATTTCTGCCGCGCCACAGCCACAGTGTTTCCCATGCTCTGCCACGTTTGACCGGAGAGTGACGACGTTTCCAGATGCACTACCGGTAGTGCAGGGAAAAGAATATCTGGGGACTAACTGTTTGGACCTGTTTGTACTTGACGCCATTTTTTTTTAATTGTACGTATTTTATTTCCATCAACTAAGATACTCTGTAGGTCCTATTAGCAAAATTTATGTGACATTTGTTGTAAATTTAATGTCGATTATTAATGTAGAAGGAATTATTGTATACATAATATTAATAGTTTACTAGATGCTTGCAAAAAGCTCAAAAAAGGACCAATCTCACTTTTCCATCATCGTCCGGCTCACCTCCCATAGTGGAGAACTTTTATTATGTCCATCTGGATACCTCAAGGAATAGGTCTACCAACTTTCAAAACTATGCGAATCATTTGATCTGATCGATGTTTAAGCTAATTTTATAAGACTACGATTTTTTTTTGTAAAACTATGAGCTATCAGTCTAAATGCTCTACAAAAGAGCTGTAGGGGATAAAAACACCTCCAAAATGAGACCTTATTTGATGAGTTTGCTGCAACTGTTAATTTGAATATTAGTATGGTAATGCAATGCTGTTTATTGTGGAAAATGCTTAATTCATCGTTTTTGAGATATACTATATAATTGACAACCTTCAAAGTGCCAAATGTCAGAGGAGGTTGCATGCAGCAATTTGTGTAAAGTATACTTTATCTGAAGTCACTTGAAACACTGTGAAATACCGGATGCGTTTTATATATCTATATTTAACACGCTCTGTTGCTGCAAAAATCGCCAAATTTCGCAGCAAATATCCCCCGTATAAGATCAAAGGCAGTTTCACCGGTCCACGTGGAGTAAAGCACGCCTATGCGTGGACATAGCCAATGAGAAAGCGTGTATTTCAGAGCTCGGAACAAGTGCAGGTGGCTACTGAAAATTGAAACAGTTTAGCCAGTGCCGTGTAGCGGTGAATAAACGTGTTTTCTTTAGTCTGTCCGTGTTTTTTCATAGATTTTATTAGTTTGTGTGTTTTTGACTTTTGAATACTCAGTTTACTTGTTGATTTAATTGTTGTGTTGATTGTTCTTGTGTGTCCTAAATATGGCTCTTTGGAGACCTTGGGAAAATGCTCCAAACCACGAGGAGATGGTTGATGAACCTGTGCAGGCAGAATTCTTTCATAAAGATTTAGAGGAACAGACCCAAAGAGTAATCCTAAATATGTATGATTGTCTGAAAAACGAAAATCCAGATTCCTAGCAAAATCAAATTTTAAACAGAATTTGTATACTGACAAAAATCAGTCGATCTACCATTTATCGGGTTATAAAAAGGGGAGATGTAGTCAACCATTCCTTCCACAGAAAGCGCATACGGCAAAAATTAAAAAGAATAGACGTGGGTTTTCAGGAAGATATTCGTCGTATAATATACGGATTTTATAAAGAAAATTTGGTGCCCACGTTGGAAATGATACGGGATAAATTAAAAGATTATCCTGAAGATTTTTATAATTACAAATGCTTAGACTCACTGCACTGTATTGTAAAACTGTGTGGTTTTCAATACAAAAAATTAGACAAAAGAATGGTGATTATGGAGTCGTCTCGAATCGTTGAATTGCGCCAAGAATTTTTGCACAAAGTTAAAATCTATAGAGAGCAGAAAAGAAATCTGATTTACCTGGATGAAACGTGGTATGATACCCATGATGTTGTGCAGTACGGCTGGGTTGACGACAGCAACAAGTGCATTTTAAATGCACCATGCAACCGTGGAAAACGAATCATTATTCTCCATGCTGGCAGTGAAAATGGATTTATACCTAATGCCTTGCTGTTATCTGCCAAAAATATCAAAGAATCCTGTGCCGACTATCATGAGGACATGACCTCCGACTTATTTGAAAAGTGGATAGAGCAGCAGTTAATACCAAACATTTCCCCAAATTCAGTGATTATTATGGACAATGCGCCATACCATTCCCGACAGAAAAATAAAATTCCGAATACAGGCACAAAAAAACAAGACATTATTGATTTTATGAAGGATAAGGGAATGGAAATACCACAAAAATCAACCAAAGCCATATTATTGGATCTTATTAAAAGACAAAAATTTGAAAAAGAGTATGTTGTTGACAATCTGCTTCAGCAAAATGGCCATGAAGTATTACGTCTACCTCCCTATTACTGCATTTTTAACCCGATTGAGTTGGTCTGGACTGCTTTAAAAAAAAAAGTAAGAAAACATAATCAGACCCCTCAATTAAGTGAATCGCTATTGGCCACAATAAGAGATGCAGTATCTCATATTGCTGCCACAGACCTATGGAAGCAGTGTTCTAGGAATATTATTGAAAAAGAAAATGAATATTGTGTTTTGCCTCCTGTAAATCCGCACGCCTATGACACGTCATGAAATTACAAAGGACGCGCCGACCAAAGGTTTTTATGGTATTTCAAGTGACTTCAGATATACCATACATTTGTTATTTTTGGTTAAATTCTAGAGCCACTGATAAAACAAAGGTAAAGAATAGATTTATATTCAGTGCTTTTCAAAAAGGTTCTGCGTACCAATTTCTTTTAGGTTAGCAAGCCGAAATTCGGTTGAAATTTATACATGAATATATTTTATAAGAGGCAATTGAAAATTTCAAGATGGCGACTGGGCATCCTTTTGGAACATTTTGCACACACTAGTGTGTCATGCCCTGGTATGGACAAACACAAATTATTTAAAAAAAAAAACTAATACCTCCATAGCTGGCATTGAAAATGATAGTCATCACATGTTTATCCTATTAAACACCAATGATTCAGTTTTTGGGAAGACTATTCAAAGGACATTCATTGACTATAAAAAGGTTGTTTTAGCACATGGACACCTGAAATATTACTGTTTTCAATACTGGCCTTAAATAACTGTTGCTGTTCTTTATTTGATAAGTTGAGACCATCTATAAGAAGGTTACTTTTTAGACATTTGAAGTCAATCTATATCATAATATACTGAGTAACAAAACAATTCTTTGTAATCTGACCGGAAGGACATTCTGGGGCTTCGCCTCAACTCCCAAATATCACCCAAGTTTATTTGCTGCCTTTATCGCTCTCCCTCGGACCATAACTGGGATGACCTACTCGAATACCTCGCCGTCCAGATCGACTTCCTGAACATCAATCATCCCGCTTCAGAGGTAGTTATTCTCGGTGATTTCAATGCCCATAACGAGCTTTGGTTGGGCTCAAACAAGACCGACGCAGCAGGTCGTGCAGTCGAAGCGTTGGCTCTTACCCAGCTCGTCACCAGCTTACTCAGCTGGTGACGAATCCTACTTTTTCCCCCGCGTCTTGTCACACGCCAGTAGCCTGCTGGATCTCTTTCTGACCACGCATCCTGCCCCTTACAGCACTGCTGTCCTGTCCCCCCTGGGTAACTCAGACCACGGTGTTGTGGAGGTTAGGTTTCAGTCAGAACCCGCTGTGGCAGCAGAAACTCGTACAGGCCGCAAAACTTAGCATTACGGTCATGCCGACTGGGAGGGGCTCAGAGATTTCTTCTCTAGCTTTCCTTGGAAAGATGTCAGTTTCACTGACGCGGATGCGTCGGCTGTCTGTTCTTCGATAACCGAAATTATCCACGTCGGAATGGAGGAATACATCCCTCACCCAGTGAAAGTGCCTAGACCAGGGTCCAACAGCTGGTTTAAAAAATCGTGTGACGCTGCTCGCCAGCAGAAGATCAAGGCACACAGAACCTTCTTACAAAATCCCACTGTAGAGAACAGACAAGCCGACGTTGAGTCCAGAAACAAATATAAAGCAGCGGTTCGCAATGCCAAGAACCAGCATGATATAAAAGTTAGGCACAGGGTAATGTCGCAGCGCAATGGCAGTCGGTCTTTCTGGACGCTGGCCAAGCAGATTGAAAAGAACTTCTCACACAGTAGCCTTCCACCACTTACATGTCAGGATGGAACTATTGTATTCAACTCAAAGGCCAAGGCGGAAGTGCTAACCAAGATCTTTGCTGCCAACTCGACCATGGACGTCCCCCCCAACGCCCAAGTGTCGTCAATTCAAAGGGTTCCCTACACTATGCGGGAGGTAACATTCAGGCATAAGACCGTAAGACGAGTGCTCTTGTCGCTCGACATCAACAAAGCTTGTGGTCCAGACTTGATTCCTGCCATTGTACTGAAGAGGTGTGCACCGGAGCTTGCTCCAGTTCTTTCGCGTCTCTTCCAGATATCTTATGAATCCGGCACCTTCCCAGAAAACTGGAAATTTGCTCATGTCCAACCCATAACCCATCCCAAAAAGGGATCTAAGACCGACCCTTACAACTACAGACCTATAGCTCTGCTTTCTGTTTTAAGTAAGGTGATGGAGAGGTGCATAAATCGCGAGC